CCAGATCAAGTTTAGAAGAAAGCAATGAAGACCAGGTGACACATGAACACTCCCAAATATTCCTGAAGAGTAGCACTGTTGGACTTGTTGGGTCTTCCTGTAGGGTAAATGTACAATCCCACTTTAGGGTTTCAAAAGCTATCAAAACCCACCAATCTCAGAACTCGAAATCCTACGAATCCCCACTGTGGAAATCTCCACCCTGCAAAACTCTGCCCTGAGAAACCCTTCATATAAAACTTGCCTCCTGCTCAGATGCCTGCTGCCTCTCTGTGGAGCACAGGCAGCCACCATCTGTGTCTTTCCCAATAAATCTCTTGAGTGAGGTTTGTTGTGCAGTGCGACCCTGTGGCTCCTCACAGCCAGGATAGATTTTCCCCTCAGAGCCGCAACACTTCCACTGGGGAAATCTTTCCCCTCAGAGTCACAATACTTCCACTGGGGAGATTTTTCCCTCAATACTGTACACCAACACTTGCCTTAAACCATCAGGGACAGCACAGGAACTGTCTCCTACCTGACTTGAAAAGTAAGCAGCATGGACTGATTGTATGGGAAGGAGGGGTATGGCAAAGGTTTTAAATAAAAAAACTCTGTTTTGATCAGTCCCATGCCATCTCTGGAACATCGAATCAAGTGGTAGTGTTTCTATCACCCTAAAACGTTAAAACAGATTCAGCAGCATAGAATGGACACAGAAGCTTGTCTAGCTGAGGCATGGCTTTCCCAGACTAGTGCCAGTTCTGGCGATGCTGTGACTGGATCATGTCTTCAGCTGGTATTGTGGAGGTCCTCTGCAGCAGCTGATCTGTCCTCAGAGTGACCTTGTCTACAACAGCCAGGCTGACAGGAGTTTGTTCCAGTCAGGTTTCTAGTCAAGAACCCAGTCAAGCCTGCATGACCAAGGGAGGTTTCTCTCAAATTTCTGCTCTTCTTGGCAACTTAAGCTACTTATAGAAAGCATTTATAATCAGATGTCATGCCAAACACTTAGAAAAAGCTCGAAACATAGCTAACAATTTTATTACTGGTGAACAAACTTAGTAGTATTGACCAATGTTCACTAGTGTTTAATCCTCCCCAGTGCCCCAGGGGAGGCAGGGACCTCGGGTCTGTCTCAGAGCACCCTGACCTTGGTCCCCCACCAGAAGAGCAGTAACAAAATGCATCTCTGGTCTTTAAGCTGCTCAGCCTTTACATTTTATTATTATAGCCAGGCAGACTAAGACAAGAGGCAAGTCAACAAAAGCATCTAAGAACGAGGGGCTGGGAATGTAGCATAGCTGGTAGAACGCCTGTCTAGTGTACACAGAGCCCTGGGTTCATCCCCAGCACTAAATACCCGAACATGATGGTGTTTGTGTGTGATACCAAGACTCAAGACATGGAGCAAGAGGATCAGGAATTCAAGGTGCACACAGTGTATTGGAAGCCAGCCTAGGGCACATAGAGTTTATTCAAAGACAAAAGAAAGAAAGAAAGCAAAAGAAATCTAAGAATTAATAGAATATAAAGGAAATTAAAGTTCCAAGACAGATATGGAGGCTCTACCTCTCCCTGAAGGACTCAGCAAGGTGTTAAACATTGTTAAAAACCTTTTAAAAGTTAGTGTTAGTGGCAGGCTCATCAAGACTTTTACTGTAAGCTCTGCCTGGGGTGCTTATTTTCCTTAAATAAATGAACATGTTGGGGATGGAGTAGGCAATTTCTTCCATAATATGTAGCTATTGGATTCTGACTGTTTTGAGCAAAAGGACTCTCAGTCAAGTAGCCAGCCAACTACACTTGTGACAGCATAAATGCCTTGAACACGCTGTGTGGATCATAGAGGGCAGCCTGGCTCCTCTAGGTGGCGCTCTAGCAAGGGTGGTTCCAACAACCTGTAGGGGACTCTTTGCTCTCAGGAGCCCTGGTGAACTCTCCATGACCCTGTAGCCATTTCTGCTCAAGCCAGAAGAGAAGCACTTCCTCTGATGGTCTAGCAGAGAGACTGCTGTGATGTGATTGGTGCCAAAAGACAAAGACATGATTGGCTAAAACAAACCCTCATTTGCATGTGAGGCGCACTATGATTGGTTGAAACAAATACTTTCATTAGCATGGGAAGCAACAACTGAGATACCAAACACTGCTTCTCTGGCTAAATAAACAGGTTTGTTCAGGCTTATTTAAGGAGTTGGGGGGATACATGCTGTGTGCCTCTTTTGGTATTGTAGGATTGGGGCCAATAAAAGCTCTCTCTCTCTCTCTCTCTCTCTCTCTCTTTCTCTCTCTCTCTCTCCCTCTCCTTCTCTCGGAGATAGGGTCTCACTGTCTAGCCCTGGTTGACCTTGAACTTGCAATGTAGACCAGCCTTGTTTCAAAGAAACAGAGACCAAGATTTGACTCCCAAATGCTGGAACTAAAAAGCATGTACTGCCACGTCCAGCTTTTAAATTTCTTTATTTTATCTGTATGTTTATGTATGTTTGCATGTTCAAGGGTGTGTGTTCACATATGTGATCGGATGCCAGAAGACAACATCAGGTGTCTTCATCATTCTCCATGGTCTGGTTTGACATAGGGTCTCTTACTGAACATGGATCTTGCTGATTCCTGCAGACATGAACCCCAGAGATCCTTCTGTCTTTGCCCTCCGCGCCACAGTGTTGGCATTACAAGCACTTGCCACCATGCTCAGGATTTTTTTTGCATGGGTTTTGGGGACCAATGGGTGCAAATCAAATGCTTTACCAACTGAGTCATCTCCCAGCTTTTCAAGCACCTGGGGAGTGATCGTTTCTTATCTACTTTAGTAGTGCGGGCTGAGCTGTTAACATGAGGAAAGCAGCCCAGAAGTGGGGGCATGGGAGCAGTGGTATGTAAACTTCTTTTTGGTTGCTGAGATGAATTATCATGACCAAAAGTACTCACAGTAGAAAAAAAATTGTTTTCTCTTATAGACCAAATTGACAGAGGAGAAGGCAACGGGTTGGGGGTAGGGGACAGGATGAACAGGAAGGCGAGAGATACATCTCTAGCTACAAACCTAAAGATGAGAGAGCAAACTGGAATAAGTTGGGGTTAAGAACTCATAAAGCTTCAAAGGCTACTGCCAGTGACACACTTCCTACAGTAAGCATGCATCCCCCTAAACGTTCCCAAAGCGGCCCCACTGGGAATTAAGTGTTCAAATACACAATAATATGGGGACATTGACTCATTCAAATCCCAAAATGTTGACAGTTGAACAGTAAGGCCCAAAGGCAAGACCAAGGAGAGACAGCTGGCCAGTTGAAGCTGAAGAGGAGACAGCTGAGCAGTTCAAGAGCTCACAGACACAAGGTTGATAAGGGAGAGGGGCGAGGAGGAGGAGAGAAGACCACACAGGGCCTGTGAAGAGTTCCAGGTATCTGTCAAGCTCACAACTGAACATAGCAGCTTTCCTTGTCAAACTCCCAGAGAGCAGCACGGTATTCTTCAGGAGGTGAGTGGATAAACAGAGGTATATCCAGTTAACGGAGTATTACTGAACCCTGAGGTGAACCTTGCTTCCTACTGCCTCAGGGCACCTGGGAAACCTAACTGTATGTTCCCAAGGAAGGAAACTGAGATAGTTTCTTGTTGCTTGAGGTCAGCATGTGACATTTTGGATAGGGAAAAACAGTTGCAGAGGCCATGTCAGTGATTCTAGGACCTGGGGAGGACAGAGTGCCAATGGACAAATGTAGGGACAGTGACCTGGTCCCACAGGCCCTGTGCTGATGGGGGCATGTCATGATACCTGTACCTAACCTGGGGGATGTCCAGACTAGACAGTGAGCACCTGCTTGCAGTGAAGACACCCAGAGTGCTGCTCCCAGATTTAAACAAAGAGATGCCAGTGAAGGGCAAACTCAAGAGAAAGGCCACTGGGAATCCTGTATTCTCTGTCTGATTTTTCTAGAAGTCCCAAAAGAATTACAAATAAACTCCAGAAAAATCCCTTCAAAGGTTGTTTAAGAAAGAAAAGACCTGGGGGGGGGGGAGGGGGAATGTATTTAAAACTCAGTTGAGGGTCCAGTGAGCAGTTTCACAAGTTTTCAAGAACTTTTCTTAAAGAGATGGGGAAGAAGGAATCCTCTTTTCCAAACAAGGGAAGCCGCAGGCTCAGGCCTTCGTGTGCCTCAAAGGAACAGTGACCCAGGGACATAGGGCACCTCAAGGCTGCCTACAGAAGGCAGAGGGACACTTGGGTGCGAGCTGGGAGGCAGCTCATGCGCCCTGTGAGCGGGCGCCACAACATATGCACACCTGGGGAGAGGAGACCAGGGTGACTCAGTGCCTTAGCTTCCTGCATTTTGGGGCTCGAGGAAGACAAGTAAATAACTCGAGCATCATGGGTGTTGGCCCTTTATTAGGTCCTGGTGCTGTAGTGGGGCGAGCCTTGGTTCAGTCAGTGTCCATTGGTAGGCTGACTGGAAGCTCAGCCAGGAAGGCAGGAAGGGAAGGGGCTGAGGGGTGGTGGGAACTGGATTGATGGGATGGCCTGCATGGAGAGGGTAGATATTGGTCTGGGTGGGCCTCCTTCATTGGCTGGCCATGCCCATGTGTGAGGTTGTGGTCAGGAGCCCAGAGGAAGCTGCTGTACCTGGGTCTGTGGTTAAATGCTTCCCCAATCCGTTCAAGTGAACAGTGAGAACCAGGGCACCTGACCCCAGCTCTCCTCCCTTCAGTGAGCTCAGCAGTCAGCCTCCAGGGGGCGCCAGACATTACAGCAAGTGTGAATCTGGAGAAGTTTCTGGAATCACAAGACTGTTCACTTCTCCAAGGAGGGAGCCATTGAATTGGCACCAAGTTCTCCCACCAATAATACCCCAGAGCCCACACTACCCTACAGCCCATACTGCACCCCATTTTCTCCCGTTTCTCCTATTCTCGGCTTTTCCCGCCTCTCCCTAGCATCAAGCGGTCTCCAGATCCTGAGAACATCAATCAAGTCTTCCTCTCTCTGGACCATCAGCTGCAGGTAGTTTTTTGCCATGTGTCCCCTAGTCAACGTTCGCCGTGGGGCCAAGGGCATGTCCCGCCTCTATGCGGAATGGCTATACCAGCTTGTCCACGGAGAAGAGATGAAGACCTGCTTTGCTTGCTACAAGGCAGCTTTCCATACTAATAGAATATTGCTGGAGATGGTTTACTGGGAAGAGGAACCGATACAGGATGAGTCCCAGGCGCTCTCAGAGTCAGGATTCAAGCCAGAGGAAAAGTCTAAGCCTGAAGATGAATCTCAACCCAAGGAAGAATCTAGGCCAGAGGAGCGGTCAGGGCAAATCTGTGCAGAAGGTCAAGGACATATGTCTGATGCCGTCAGTGACCAATCAAGTTCTGGCTCTCCGAGTCCAGGCTCTGTAGGGACAGAGCTGGAACCTGAGGAAGCTGTACCCCTGGACCCCGGCGCTGAGATTGATGAGTGGATGCAGGCCCTTCGCTGGAAATTAGGTAACTTCTGTCCCTGCCCCCACCAGTGCACCATCCCCACTCTGTCCTTGTGGGATATTTTCAGTGTGGACCCATCTCCTGAGCAAGCTGTATTGTTAGAGTTGAGCCCCCTTTGGCCAATGGAAAAGGTAGTAGAAACGTGGTTGAGAAAACTGGATTTCAACTTGGTGTTGTCTGGCTCTGGTACCGTCTGCTACTTGCTGTCAATGACTCCTTTATGGGTCGTGATGACCCAAGTCAATCGCTGGCAGGTGTTGCTGGACCCTGATGCCTATTTGCTGGCCCACCTAGAGACTGGACCTCAAAAGCAGACCCTGAACCGCTGGAGGCTGAGCATCCTGGAGTCCTCATGGCTGGGGGTAGAGCTGGTGCCTGCTGACTGCACCCTGCGGAAGGGAGGCTTCAAGGTGCACTCCTACCTGCCCTGGCAGAGTGACACCCCAGAGGTCTGGACCAGGGAGCCAGGGGAGAGGCTGCTTGTCAAAGATATTCAGAAGCTGAGGGACCTTTGAGCTTCCTCTCCTGATCCTTCTTTTTGACTCCAGAGTATCGGAGGCACTGATCCTTAGGCAGCCCCCATTGCACCAGATCCCTGGGAATATGAAGAGCCAGTGATTGCCTGTTCTGAGCCTCAGGGGAACGGTTGGTCCAGAATTTTAGGGGAGCATCTGGGACAGTCTAGAGGCTTTGTGACCTCAGAGGGAAGTCTGGCATGCTTAGAGCAGGAGTTTAGCTGGGCCCAGCTGACTGTTCAGTGAAGGTGAGGACTAGGTTTATGTTAGGTGGGTTGTTCTGTATCGGGTGTCCTGGGTGACTAGTCAGAGCTCTTGTCCAGTATAGGCATGGCCTCCTAGGCTCTGAATGACCTGGTGTTTGCAGTAGTTAGACCCTGTCTTAGGGGGTCAAGATACCAGATTTCAGGCTTAACTGTACAGTGTACTTATACTGTTTAATTTTATTTTCTTCTTTCGCTGTTTCTGTTGAATAAAGTTGGTGTTTTAAATTTTATTATTTGATGTGGATGGTTTTCCCTACACATGGTGTCTTCATACCTGGTACTGCAGCAACCAGAAGAGGCCCTGGAGCCTGTGGTTACCCAGTTATTGGGTAGCTAACTCTCCCTTCCAAACTGGGTCTGTCCCATCTGTGGTTCGCCCTCTCTCCCTCCTGGTGAAGCATCCATCACAGCAAATGCTTTGTTGTTTCGTCTTCATTATTTAATTTTACTTTTATTATTGTGTGTGTTTGAGATTGTGGGTGCACACACGCCACAGTTCACGTGTGGAGGTCAGAGGACAACTTTCAGGAGTTCACTGGATCGCTCAGGTCATCAGGTAGAGATTTTACCTATCGAGCCTTCTCAGTGGTCCTTCAACTCCCCAAACCCCCCTTTTTATGCAGACTCTTTTTGGGTAGATTTTGTATTGTTTTGTTTTCTTTTGTTAAACAGGGTTACTGTGTCTTTTTGGAGCCAATCCTGGAACTTGCTCAGTAGACCAGAATGGCCTTGAACTCCAGAGACCTGGGTGCCTGCTTCAAGGAGTCCAGAATTTTTTGGGTTGAGGAGGATGGGGAGAAAGGGTTTGTCTGGCTCACACTTCCACATTGCTGTTCATCACTGAAGGAAGTCAGGACATGAACTCAAACAAGACTGGAACTGAAGGCAGGTAACACTCTCAACAGCTGAACCACATTCTCTATCCTCACAATCATTAACAAAGAAAAAGAGCAGAAAACTATTAACAGTCACACCTGTGTAACAACCTGCACAGGTAAGAAGGTCATGCACCAGAGAACACTTCAAAGCATCAGGACATAAAATGTGGAGATAAACCCACCTATGGTTTGCACTGGGCAAACATCCCATGTCAATTGCAGATGATGTGTGAGCCTGCAGCCTCCTGATTACTCAGCCAATGAGGAAAGAGGGGAAGAAACCACCTTGCAGGGTTATAAATGCAGGGCACACTCCACTCCCAACACCCCACCCACGTATGTGCACAAGCAGGGGCTTCCTCCTGCCCATGGATTTCTCACAGACCACGCTCAAACACCTTTTTTCTCAGAAATCCTTTATTTAGTGGGAAATAGAGTTAAAGCGCTGCTCTCTGACTCAGGCAGAAAAACAGCAGCAATGGTCTGCGCGTGTCATGTTCAGAAGAGGAAAAGGGAAGTCTGTGTTAGAATTGGCTAGGCTGCAGTAGAGTATTTGGATTGGGCATGTCAATCAGGTGAACCAAACGGGCCTTTAGCCTGCTGGACTTCTGTCCTCATCCTCAGGAAGGATTGTGGCATAGGAAAGTATCCATTACGGGAACAGGCCTTGCTGCTAGCCTTGGGGATGTAATCTAACAGGTTTGTTTAGCTAAAGCAGAGAAGGACAAGGCCTGCTACAGCCGTGTTTGCCACACTTGCACTGGACAGAATCCGTTCAAAAAGTTTATAAATTACTGTGCTTAAGAGAACTGTAAAGCCAAATTAGAATGGAAATGTTAAGGACTGTCTAGTATTCTTTTTGTAATTACCTGTTCTTGAACTATTTTAACAGAACTGTTCTTTATGCAAGTTAATATAGGTCACCATGTGGCACAAATTCTAATTGTCTTAATAATAAAAACCCAAAGGAGAGGGCGGGGGATGGGGAGTGAGGGGAGGGGAGGGAAGTGGAAATTTTCAATAAAAAAATAAAATAAAAACCCAGAGTCAGATATTGAGGTAAATGTAGAAAGAACAGGAACATAAAGAAGCCAGTCACTAAAAAAGAGACTTTTACCTCTACCAAATCCTTATACTGAAGGGGGAAAGATTATGTCTCTAACAAATCCTCAATCTGAATGTTCATATTGAAAGCCCTGAGTTCCTGTCTCCTCCCACCTTATGTTCCTCTCTCTGCCCATCCATATCACTCCTGTCTCCACCTCCCTGGTGCCGGGATTAAAGTCATGTGAAACCAAGTGCTGGGCTCAAATGTGTGACTCTGTTTCTCTTTCTGACTGATTCACTATTGTGTAGAGAGGAGCACCCTTTAACTCCCAGAGACCCATCTGCCTCTGTCTCCAGGGTGCTGGGATCAAAGGTGTGAGCCACCACAGCCTGGCCTCTATAGCCAAGTAGTGTGGCTAGCTCCCCACTCTGATCTTCAGGCATGCATTATTTGTTAGATCTTAAACAAAATATCACATCATGAGGTTAACTGCTAATTTTGCTTCTGTAAAAGAGAGCTTGTATTACTCAAGATGACGTTCGGCTTATCTGTAAATAAATGTAGATCATAGATGTCAGCCTGGCTCCTCTAGGTGGCGTTCTAGCAAGGGTGGTTCCAACAATTTGTAGGGGACTCTTTGCTCTCAGGAGCCCTGGTGAAATCTCCATGACACTGTAGCCATTTCCTCTCAAGCCAGAGGAGAAGCACTTCCTCTGTGGTCTAGCAGAGAGACTGCTGGGATATGATTAGTGCCAAAATACAAAGACACGATTGGCTAAAACAAAAACCCTCATTTGCATGTGAGGCACACTATGAGTGGTTGAAACACACACTTTCATTAGCAGGTGAGATAAGCTATGATCAGCGCAAACCCCATTCTCTGGCTAAATTAAGGTTGTTCAAGCTTATAAGAAGCATTATGGTATAGCCTATTGTGTGACTCTTTTGATACTGCAGTATTGGGGCCAATAAAAGGCTGCTCTGTCTCTGTCTCTCTCTCTCTTTCTGAAATAGGGTCTCACTATTCTAGCCCTGGTTGACCTGGAACTTGCAATGTAGACCAGCCTTGTCTCAAAGAAAGAGACCCAGTCATGACTTCCAAATTATGGAACTAAAGGCATGTACTTCTATGTTCAACCTATAAATTTATTTATTAATATGTATATTTAGGTATGTTTGCATGCTTAAACGTAGGTGTTCACATATCTGATCAGATGCCAGAAGACAACATCAGGTGTATTCATCATTCTCCATGGTCTGGTTTGACACCAGGTCTCTTTCTGAATATGGACCTTGCTGATTCCAGCAGACATGAACTCCTGGGATCCTTCTGTCTTTGCCCTCTGCGCCACAGTGTTGGCATTACAAGCACTTGCCACCACGCTCAGGATTTTTTTGCATGGGTTCTGGGGAGCAATGGTTGCAAATCAAATGCTTTACCTCCTGAGTCATCTCCCCAGAATTTTGAAGGACCTTGCAAATGATCGTTTCTTATCTACTTTAGTAGTGCGGGCTGAGTTGGTAACATGAGGAAAGCAGCCCAGAAGTGGGGGCATGGCAGCAGTGGTATGTTAACTTCTTTTTGGTTGCTGAGATGAAATATCATGACCAATGTAACTCACAGTAGAAAAAAAAAGTTTCTATTATACACCAGATTGACAGAGGAGAAGGCAATGGGGCGGGGTAGGATGAACAGGAAGGCGAGAGACACATCTCTAGCTACAAACATGGAGATGAGAGAGCAAACTGAAGCAGGTGGGGTTAAGAACTCTCAAAATCTCAAAGGCCACCAGCAATGACATACTTCCTCCAGTAAGCATGCATCCCCATAAACATCCCCAAAGCAGCCCCACCAACTTGAAATCAAGTATTCAAATACACAATAATATGGGGGACATTGTCATTTAAACCCCACAGGTCTTGACAGTTGAACAGTAAGGCCCAAAGGCGAGAGCAAGGAGAGACAGCTGGCTAGTTGAAGCTGAAGAGGAGACAGCTGAGCAGTTCAAGAGCTCACAGACACAAGGTTGATAAGGGAGAGGGGCGAGGAGGAGGAGAGAAGACCACACCGGGCCTGTGAAGAGTTCCAGGTATCTGTCAAGCTCACAACTGAACATAGCAGCTTTCCTTGTCAAACTCCCAGAGAGCAGCACAGTATTCTTCAGGAGGTGAGTGGATAAACAGAGGTCTATCCAGTTAATGGAATATTACCGAACCCTGGAGTGAAACTAGCTTCCTGCTGCCCCGGGGAAAGCTAGCTGTATGTTCCCAAGGGACGAAACTGAGATAGTTTCTTGTTGCTTGTGACCAGCATGTGCCATTTTGGATAGGCCAAACATTGCAGAATGCATGTCATCGATTCTAGTTCATGGTAATAACAGAGTGCCAAGGGCCACATGTAGAGACAGTGAAATGGTGCCATGGACCTGTGGTGGCAGGTGCATGTCATCATCCCCATGTCCTAACCTGGGCAATGTCCAGAGTAGACAGTGGGCACCTGCTTGCAGTGAAGACACCCACAGTGCTGCTCCCAGATTTAAACAAACAGATCTCAGGGAAGAGCAAACTCAAGAGAGAGGACAATGGGATCCCCGTATTCTCTCCCTGATTTTTCATGGAATCCCAAAACCCTTACAAATAAACTCCAAAAAGAATTTCTTCAAGAGTTGTTTCAGAAAGAAAAGACCTGGAGAGGGAAAAATATGTTTAAAACTCAGTCAAGGGCCTAGTTAACAGTTTCACCTGTATTGAAGAATTTTTTCTAAAGAGATGGGGAAAAAGGCATCCTCTTATCCAAACAAGAGAAGC